GTGATCGGTATCGGTGATCGGTATCGGTGTATCGGCCATCATGGGTGATCGGTATCGGCAGGAAAAAACCTGATCCGCACATCTCTAGTGTGCATCATATTGTCCTTCTTATTACCAGGAGCTGAGTGATGATTTGTATCAGAAGATAGCAGCAGAAATGAACCTGTCAGAAACAGCTTTCATCACCTTGATCAACCCCACTGATACCTTCACTTCCGGTAGCTATTACATCACTATTATGAATTTATAACCAGTGTCAGCTCCTTCTTGTAGACAAAGATTGAAAATCTAAGTAATCTGTGGGCAGTAAAGACATATTAAAAACAACAACTGGTGATGTAATTAAACAGGAACAAGATTTCGCCTCAGATGGTTCACACCAACCATGGAAGTAAATCTGTGCGGTCACGCCACGCTGGCCTCTGCAGCGGTGCTGTTCCAGTATAAAAGTAAGACCAATACACACATAAACACCTCATGAGGACGCAGACGGCCATTCAAGAATTTGTCAGCTTACAAACTGTAAAATGTTGCGTCATGTTCGCCTCCTCAGATAATGTTAATCCAACGGTGGTGTTTGAGACGAGGAGTGGAGATTTGGGCGTGAGCAAGAGAAAAGAAGGATACATCATGGACTTTCCTCTAAATCCACCGACAAAGAAGGTGAATTACACATTCATGAACAAACCTGCAGAAAATCAGCAATCTAAAATATGTTCTCTCTGGAAAATAAACTAATTAATTAGGTATTTGTTTTTATAATGCGCCTTTCACTGAAATAAAACAAAAGTGCTTCACAAATAGAAAACATATTATCTTATAAATATAACTAAATAAGCTGTTAAACAAGGTTTGATTCATAAAATGTAGTTTGCACATTTAATTCACAAAATCCCCACAAAAAGAGATTTATATATATTACTACGTTGCCTAGCAACTGGCGTGTTTGCACTCAGTGAGTTTTCCACGTTTAACTGAGATATAAAGAGGAAAGTCATACCTTATACATGAAAACATTTTGCTCATCAGGAAATAATTTTATCTTGTATCTGGACTGTAAAAAAATTATACCTTGTTATGAAAAGCCAATAGTTTTTAATCAGAGACGCTGAGACAGAAGAGATGGGGGAACAACTGATTTGTAGAAATCTGGAGGTCAGAGAGAAATTTTAATAAAGTTACATTTCTGTGGTTACACTTTTAAGAGTTTTGTTTTTTCAAATGCTTTAACTTAAAGCTTTAGCTGACATGTTGACATATTCTTTAACATGTATAATGAAGTTTAACTGTAAAGGCATCTGAAAGGACAAATAAAAGATATAAAAACATATTTTTTATTTTTTAGGATCACAATGACTTTAAAGATGTTATAAAGGTCAGTAATAAACATCCACACCAGTCGTCTCTGAACACTTCTCAGCCAGATCATGTGTGTTGAACTGTATTTATATTTCTATTACAGGCGGCAGTAGGAAACCACCCGGTTCAGGAGGTTCTTTTGAGCTGCGACACAAAGAAGCTGATGATCCGATTGTCGGACAGCTGTGAAAGGTCATTTTGACCACAAACACCCAGAAGCCAACCGGGTTTTCAAAATGCTCACATCTCTGACCTTCTTTCAGAAACCACTGAGCCGAGTGTTTGCTGCGTGTGTGTGTGTTTTGTCTCCAGGTCAGCGCTAACCAGTCTGAAAGTTGACCCTGTTGCTCTTCTGAACAGCGACTCCAGCGGCAGAGTGAGAGGCGTCATCGTTACAACGAAAGGTGAGCAGAGCAACACAACGAGGTCAAACCTGGAGCTTCGTGTAGATTACATACACACAACACAATCTAATTTTCACATTTATCTCAGACAAGCTTGAACATTTCTGAGTTTGAAAAATAAAAAAAATGCTAGACAAAAAATAAGAAATTGTGAGATCAATCTCGGAACTTTTGTAGGAAAAGCCTGGAGATTTCTGAGTTTCAAAAGTAGAAAATTAGCTAGAAAAAAAATCAGAAATTGTGAGATTAATCTCAGAAATTTTCTTGGAAACAAAAATGAAAAATTCTTAGTTTGAAAAATAAAAACAATTACTAGAAAAAAATGAAATTCTGAAATTAATAGACATTTTCTAGAAGAAACGTAAATCTCTGAGTGTCAAAGGTAAAAAAAGATTCACTTTTGGAAATTTAGAAAGTGTTTACATTTTTCGTATATTAATTTCAGATGTTTTTCTAGCAAATTTTATACTTTTCAAATTTTCTAAAAAATTTCTGAGATTAATCTCAAAATATCTGAGTTTTTTCTGGGAATGTTTTGGTTTTGGGAGATCTGAACTTTCCCTGATTTTTCTAGAAAATGTCTGAGTTTACTCTTCCTTTTATTTTTCTGTCATAGTTTTATTAAATGCGCTGTAATTTTTGTATATGTTCCTGTGATCAGGGTCTCCAGACTGTCAGCCCGGATTCGACTTCTACTCCCGGTACTTCGCTCCGTGGGCCGGCATCCCAGAAGATCCCGTCACCGGTAAGATGAGCGCTCTCACAAATAAACGTAATTCTGGCCTTTATACTGTTGCTGCAAAGGCAAACAGGCTAAAAATAAATAAAGGTGGTTGCATATTTTACACTACTGCAATAAATGTGAAAAATATTTCATGTTTCTTATGAGATGCGTTTGAATCGTCTGCTCTTCCAGGCTCTGCTCACACCGTTCTGGGAAGCTACTGGTCAGACGTACTTGGGAAAAAGAAAATGCTTGGTGAGTCAAAATAAAGAGTCGGAGCAGCTTCCAGGTTTTAGCAGTGGAGATAAACAGGGACAAATGTAACTAGTTACATTTACTCAATTACATTCACTTCAGTAACTTTTATTTTGAAAAAATGTACTTTAGAAGTATTTTCACAATGTTGCACTTTTTACTTTTGAGTAATTTTATTACTAAATATTTTTACTCGAGAAAAATCTCTGGATTTTCTACCCACTGAATGAAGAACAAACTTGTTTTAACCAAAAATTCACCAGACACACACACACACACACACACCTGCAGCTTTTGTTAAAGTTTTTTATTAAAAAAAAAACTGATTTAGAAAAATTTCTTCTACCCGATTTAGTTATTTTTTGTTAGTTATATGAATTATTGTCATTTATGTCCCGAAAATACAGAAATTTCCACCTAACTTTATATTTTGGTTCATCTGATGATGTAATTTTTTAAATATTAAATACTTCAAATCAATTACTTCACAGGTGTCAAAGTCCTATGTTGAAGTAGTGCTACTCTTGCTACAGTACTGTTTACTGAGTGCCATAGACTCTTAATGTTTCCACATAGTTGAGGACTTTTGTTAAATATTATGTCAATAATCTCTGGTTGTCCTTTTAAAGACTTGACAATCCAATAAAACCCTGAGTAGAATCCACACAGGCTGAACTTCCTACACTAATTCTGTAATTAACCTGCTTTTTATTTCATTTCCCGTCAGATCTGATCTTGCGGTCAGTAGCCGTCCTGATTTTGTGTTTTTGCAGCGTACCAGTGCTCGAGTCGTGGAGGGGAGCTGGACCTGGAGGTGAGAGACAATGGGAGGATCAACATAGCTGGAGACGTCACCACTGTGCTGCAGGGATTCATCAGGCTGTAGCGACAATGAGCAGGAAGTGAAATGAGTTGACTTTAACCCGTCATTGACAGGGGTGTCAAACTCCAGTCCTCAAGGGCCTCTGTCCTGCAACTTTTAGATGCGCCTCTGCTGCACCACACCTGAAAAGAATAATTAGGTCATTAGCAAGGCTCAGGAGAACCGATCTACACAGGGAGGAGGTCATTAAGCCATTTCATTCCACTGTTTTTTACCTGTGGCACATCTGAACTCTGCAGGACAGCGGCCCTTGAGGACTGGAGTTTGACACCCTGACATTGTGAATGACAACCTGTGAATGACACGTTAAACAGAAACAGATGAATTAATGCAGACTGGTCGGTTCTCATTTCACCTTATTTTAATGTAGATGTCAACATGCTTTGTTAATCTGTGTTAACGCAAGTAAATCAGTCTAGAGGATGAATTGTTTTCCTTCCTATTTGACACTTTCATTAAACATTGAAAGAACAGTCGTCTTTTTCCTTGTGTTTTTATAAAGTAAAAAGGAAGATAAAACCCATTTGCATAAATGATGTTCAAAATCTTGGTGAGTTTTTCCTTTTATTCAAGGCTTTCAATCTCAGGAGTTTCAAATCTATAATTCTGGATTAATAATTAAAGCTGATTCTAATTCACAAAACCAACTGATTTAATTTACATAGAGGAAATATGGAATTGGATCAGACCAATCAGAAATATTGATCAATATATACATTCCTTGTTTCAAAGTGAGCTCAGCTGCATCAGGTTGTCAAATTTACTAAAATCTCTCCTCTTAAGTATTTAGAAACTAAACAATTGATTACAGAATCAACTTTGCAGCAGCTGAGAAATCTACAAAATAGGCTCCAGTTTAAAAGAGATTGAACATAAATTATTCCACAAGAACTGAGAAATGTTTTATGGATCATGTGGGGAAAAAAAGTTTGTTCTTGTTCAGTAAACTGACTGGCCAAAAACATTCAAGAGATTGTGGAAAATACATATTCTTCCTGCTTTTAAACTTTAATAGGACTTTGCAGGACTGAAGAACTGGAGTTTCCTATTAAATATAAAATGACTTGGCCAGAAAAAACTTGAACTGAGTAAATAAACTTAATTTTTCACTTCTTGTGGAGGATTTACAAGCCTAAACACATCATGAGGAAACCATGAAAATCCAGTGAGAGCATTTTGACGTGTGACATGTTGAGGAATATTTAACATACAGAAGGAACAAAACAGCATATTTAAAAAAAAAAAGCATTATTTATTCACATTCCACAAAAAGGCAAAAAGCTGCAAGACAAAACTTAAAAAAAAAAAAAAGTAAGACACACAAAAACCAAGAAGATCTGAGGTCAGTTTGGTCTCATTGATCCAGATTCATGAATCTGATTAACAGAATCAAGAGTTAAATTATACAAAACATCACTGCTTCAATTTAACATTAAAAATACAATATTGGTGACTCTGGAGGACTGATCGGCAGATAAAGTATACCACTGCAAAATTCAGCTGCTGCTACTCTAAAATAAAAATTAGTAACTCCGTTGACATCAACATTCGTTAAAGTAGACCAGTTTGGTTTAACTGTATGAAGCCACATTGATGGAAAAGCCTTCAGGTATTCTGTTACAACAAATGAAAGCATATTTTACCAACACAGTTCCGAGCTGCACAATGTTTTGTCAGAAACTAGAAATTATTCACCAGAACTTGGAAAAGTAAAGTCTTTAAATAACAAGCTTATGAATGAAATGGATAAGCAGTACCAATAGTCACACCAAGAGGATCATTAGTGCATCAGTAAGAGGTATTTAATAAAACAAATGGTTTAAAAATCAAGTGTAATTATTCACATTTATCTCCAGAAGAAGCAGTAAAACTGTCAGTTCTTCTAGTATATGTTCCACATTAAAAGCAAAATGCTTCAATTGGATCTTAAATGGATTCAAGTTAACAAAATGAACTAAATTGAAAGTTTTATATTTTAAAAAAAGATTACTGTACGACTGTTTTTATGGAACACAACTGAGGTTTTATGATATATTTTAGCTTGAGGTAAAAAGAAAGTCAGCTTGGTTCCCATTTTCTGTGTGATAAAGCGTTTCCATGTCTCCTGACGAACATCCAGGTAAGTCTCTGTTTTCTGCAGTCTTAAGCCATCTCCCTGACAGCGCGTTGCTTCAGAGGTGCATGCTGGGTAATGCCTTGTGAGCAGCTGGAGGGAGCTGGATAATGTGAAGGAAGGGTTAAAGAGAAAACCTGAAGACGTGGATTAAAAAGAACAATCTGCCATGAGAATGTGAAACATGCACACTAACCAGGCGTAACTTCATAAGCTACGTTTACCCTGCAGCCTGAAGCGACCCTTAATGCGATATGAATTCACGACAGTCTGAACATAGATCGTATTATATTATATACAGTATTTGTGACCCGACTCTAACGGCTAGGTCGATATTCATTCGACCTGAACGTCACTGATACTCGACAAACGTCACTATTCTGCGTCCTAATACTCACAAGCGGGAAGTAAAACAATTATGGCGGACTTTAATGAGGATTAAGTTGTTATAATATGTCTCCTCCGGTCGAACAACTTCAAAATTGTAAGCTATGCTACACCGTTAGCATCCACGTTTACCTCCGCAAACACTGAGCGCTTCTTCTTCAACTTTTTATGGCGGTTGGCAAAACACTGAGAACCATAGACACGCCCTCTGTGTGCGACGTTGTTGCGCCCTCTACTGCGCATGCGGGACACTTTCAGGTCGTTTGCCGTTCACACTGGAGAACACATACTTGCAAAGAGAAAGCAGTTTCTATGATAAATCCACCTTTTTCTCACTCCTGTTTTTCTTCTGTTTGACTTTTAGAAACCATCACTAATCCATCAAATGAGGAGATCAACTGAAGTGCGACTCCAACAACAGGCTGAATCTTTCTGTAACACAAAGTCTGTATTCATGAAATTTGCAATATTCACCAACAGCTGTTGCATTGCAAGTGTTTTTAAAAGTGGGGGCCGCCAGCAGGAAGATGAGGAAACAATAAAAACTGAATCTCAATTTGTGACCGGTGGGGTGAAATGGGTTAAGAGACAATTTTCATTCATTTTAGTTTTCTGTTATTCAATCATTTAAAAAATATAAAATCTAAGTTAAAACAACATATTTATGCAGTATCCATAATTATTAAATGATTATGAAAAGATATCATGTTCTGCTGCAGTAGATGCTGCAGCAGCTTCTCCACTGGTGGGTATCGCCGCAGCGTTGCAGCAGAGCCCACCATCAGCAGCTTGTGTTTTGCTCTGGTTACAGCCACATTCAGACGCCTCCAGTCCTTCAGCAGCTCCCCTAACTGAGCAAATAAACGGGACAAAGTGAGGACAGGATCGCTATAAAGAGAGAAAGCTGGGAGGAGAAGATGCCTACGTTTCCTTCCTCTGCGGTGCTTCTGACAAACGACAGAACAATCAGACTCTTGTCCCGTCCCTGGTACCGGTCCACCGTGTTGACCTCCACCCCGGAGAAAGCAGAGGACTGCAGCAGAGCAGAGATGCACTTCAGCTGCTGCCTGTAGGGGGCGATAACTCCAATATCACCGGGTTTACACCCGGCCTGGTGTGCAGAGAAAACAGAGGTTTTAGAGCAGAAATGCAAACATTGGTATATTATTTATTAAGCCCGTTATGATGATAAATGTTCCTGAATGATAAATAGTCCCAATAATTACTGCGATAAACGATAGCATTGTTGTTTTTATAATGGCATAATAATCTAAATTCTCTCTAAAAGACCAATAACATAACATTTTTTAAAGAATACTGGAAAATATTTAAATATTCAAAATAAAAATAAAACAGAAATAAAATAATCCACACACAACTAAAGTCATAACTAAAATGTATTATGAGGACTGTAAACAAAATTGACCTTCAAAAATAATCAGAATTTAACCCTCATCAAGCTCATATTAATTTATCGTTGCTTATTGCATTAAGAGTGCATGAAACTTATCTTTGCCCTTATAAATTATTAATTTAGAAGCAAACAAACCTTTATGAGGAGAGAAAGCATCATGTGTATGAGAGCAGCTTCGGTGCGATTGCTCACTCCTCCCTGCTCCACCGACTCCAAAGCAGGAACCTGCAGGAACCGAAACTTTTACACACAATCCACCGTAAACATGTCCTGCAAGTCAAATGAATCATAAACATATTTTAAAAAACACCAACAGCCTCAGTGGCTTTATGCTCGGACATATAGAAACAGCTGCAGCATTTTACAAACCTTTGAGCAGTCGAGGAAGCAGACGGGGTTGGAGGGCAGCAGCGCGGCCTGCAGCCAGGACAGGTCCAGCTGGGGACGAGTCTCAGAGCAGGAAGTGAGCTCTGATTGGACGGACGGCAGCGAGGGCAGGGTGAGCAGAGCCGAGGCCGTCCGCTCAGACCCGCACTCCAGCCGGCCGTCGTACATCAGAGAGTTACTCAGAGACATGATCTGACTAGATTTACAAACAGAAGGTGAAACACTGTTTTATAGATGCTGCAAATAAAAACTTGTTAAAAAAAAATCTTAAAGCAAGTTAGAGAAGATTGCTGGACATTTAAATCTAAAATCACTTCATATTTATTAAGTCTAATAATTTTTGAATTTAAGGACACTATGCATCTAACCTCAATTGCATTTTGAAGATCACATGTTTTTAAAGGGCCGGTTGTGGAAGAATGTGTTGTTAAAACTACCCGTTAAACTGTTAAAATATTAATAAGTAGCCGTCTCTGCAATCACACTGATGTAATTTGGCAGTATACAGAAAAAACTGCTTTGATTTCATTGATAAATATTTAAGCACATAAATGTCATCTCGACAGCTCTTTTTGTATCCTAAAGTCTAGCTGGCCATGTAAAAACTTAGTCTGGGAAAATTATTTCTACATTCATAGTAAAGTTGACATTTTTTCCCCAGAGGCGACAAAGCGAGAAAGCTTTTTGAGTTTTGAAAAGATCAGATTAAATGTTTGAAAATGGTCCGATTCATTTTCAGAAACATTACCAGTCTCTTTAAATTTAGCTTATAACAGACCAAGTGTCTTCAATCAGAGGCTTCTTAAACCCGCTGTATCACAGACTGCTACAGGAGATATGTCCCGCAAACAGCGATCACCATCTACAGCAACATTAATTTCTCTTTGGGATCAACAAATAATTTTTGAACATGAATTTTGACCTAAATATTTTCAGTGTACAGAAACAAACCGGTGCAATTTTTTTCCCAGTTTTTCTTTGTAAAGAAACATTAAAATCCGTGTATTTATTTCCTTTGATTTTACAACAACCCACATAATCTTTACTGCAGAAGCATCCAGTTTTCTCCCAGCAGTGTTTACCTGTTCATCCGGTACTGTACGTTCAGCTGCACCACCGCCTCGCTATGGAGCTCAAGTCGCTTAAACAGACTTTCATCCATCCCAAGAGACCTT